AGATGTGTATAATAATACACTACAACCAACCATACAAACCATACTAGTAAATCATTATATTATATTATATTATATTACTGTGGATGCAATATTTTATTGTGCAGTATGACCATTCAGGCCCCGAAACCTTGACTCAGAAATACCGGGATGGTATCCGGTGGGGGATAGTTTCACCTGTATATATATAATAATAATCGGGATAATAATACACTACAGCCAACCATACAAATTTGTTTCGGTTCTTTTTATGTTACTGATTGTCTTGAGTGAGTACAGTATGATACAACTTCTAAAGTGCTATAAGCCATACAGTACTTCTTATTTCTTAAAAATTATTGTAATTACTTCATTGGGCCTACTGGTTTCTTTGGAGTTTGTATCATGCTATTGTAGGCTCTTGTTAATTTACCAGTACTGTAGTACTAAACTAGTAGTTTTTGTTTTTTGTTTTTTTATCTTTGCCCAACTCAAAAAATTACCTTAATATATACCGTACATTTTTAAAAAATGTATGGCCTCTCAAATCAATTAAATAACACCTGTAAATGTCTAGAATGCTGGAACTACCGGGGGCTTCGCCCCCTGGACCGCCACCGCGCCTTTTTCCCATGGACCCCACCGGGGGCCCGTGGCGAGACCCTGGCCCCCAGCCAATGGTGCTCGCTTGGCTCGCAAGTGCCCTTTTAGTATCAAAAAGTACCCCCCTATAAAAAATCCTGGCTACGGGCTTGTGTACGTCAAATATAAGCCAGTAAATTAGTTCTTTAATACGATAGAATAATTTAGTTGACTCATATTAATAATCAGTGCTAATGAATGTTCATGACGACACAATGATATATATTATTCCATCAACACCGGTGAACTATTAATGAGGAAGTCTAAACGTTTAGTTGACCGCACTAATTCAGTATGTACTGCCGTGTGTCTGTAATTTCTGTAGAAAATGCGAACAAAAAAAAAATTAAAAAATTAAAAGCTAATTTTAAACATGACATTCTTCATTTAAATATATCAATTAGGAGCTTACAGATTAATTTTATAGAACATTAATTCACATTCGCGGTCTGGACATTGTCCTTGACATCGAAGTTCAAATAATTACAAATTATTGAAGGCAGGCAAGTTGTATTAACATCGCTCCGTTGCCATAGCCCACTAACCTGGGGATGTTGCATGAATGTATAAAATGAAATAAACGTAAATCTAACCCATGTCAATCTGTGGAGACGATATTTTATAGAATCACATTCGTGGTCTGAACATTGTCCTTGGCATCGAAGTTCAAATAATTAGAAATTGTTAAAAGCCAATCATGTTAATCATTGCCTCATACAGGAAACCCCATTTACCGCTTCCTCTGCCAAACACTCGATAGCTCAGGATGGCAGACCAAGGCCTACACAAATGGTACTCAGTACAGTACTCACATTTTTCAAAACATCAGTAGCGTATCTAGGGGAGGGCGCACTCCCCCAAAAATTACTCGCCCCCCCCCCC